CCTTTCATTAAATTCCTGTTTACTCCCCCTTCTCAGTTGATTTATTGGCAGGCTGAGTTCAGTAAACTAGTTTCAGTCTTCTTCCATACAGCATGATGTTCATTTAGTAACTGATGCGTTCCCATTCTAGATAAAAACAGGCACCATTAAATCAGGCGTATGCTTTAGGCCGGGGCTCCACCTTGTGACTGAGCAGCCTCATTCTCCCAGTGGAGTGCCATTCCAGTGCTCGAACGCACAAAACCTCATATCCAGGACTGTAAACTGTTGCTGCTCAGCAGTAGTTTACAAGTGTTTTTTTATCAGAGCTTTGCTTCCTGCTGCTGGAAACACTGAGAATGAACCAGACAGGAAACCCAAAACTAGCAGATAAAAGAGTCTAAAAATGGGGTTAATTCTCTGTGGGTTTACCACTGTTAATCTGAAGGACTAATCAGTCACATTAGCTCTCCCAGCTAGCTGAACAGTTAGCTCAGTCACAAACCAATTAGTGAACAAAGAGACATATTTGTACCAGGGTACCATTAACATTATTTTCTCATCTGCCAAATCATGCCAAACCTAACCCAACCAGAAGTAGCCAATGAAAATAACTTTTGAGAAAGCTATTCACTTAAAAAAGTTAAAAAAAAAAAATTGCAAACCTGTTCACTTTGCTCACCGTCCCTATCAATTACTTATTATAGCTACTTCTACATTTCCTTGGAAACAGCTAGCTATTGGTTTCTTGGAGACTGAACTCCGTTCATGACAGTGTGTAGGATTTCAGTGCCATCTAGTGGTGAGCTTGCATATTGCAACCAACTGAAACCCTCTTGACTCAACCACACGTACAAGAGAATCTAAGGTATAGTTTATATTCTATTTCTGCCAACAGATCCTCCTCAGTGTTACATACTGGACCTTTAACCAGAGATTTGTAGCTTAAAGATCCAGCAGAAGAACTCTTTCAGGTGTAAAAGTCCTGGTTTTGTGCGACCACCACCCGTCCAGCCAGTAAGCAGCACTTACTGTATGTTTCCTACAAAATATAGTTTAGCCAAACCACTCAGGGGTGTTTAAATGTCAGTTTTAGGACATGGGATTGCATCAGCAGGTCACATTCACATGTTTGGGTTAGTTAAGGGGGCAGAGGGGGCAGTCTCCTCTAGCCAACAACCACGGTGGATTCCCCAGCCTTTCTGTTTTACTGACTACTGGGAAAATAAGGGGAATGCCTCCTTCTTATCCTCAGACTAATGTCATCAGGATCAAACTCAACCCGCAGGTAGAGAGATCAAATCTTCCCCTTCGGTTTAATTAAACCACATTCCTCTCTGCACCACCCGACACTAACCTCCACCTCTGTTCCTCCTCTTCATTTCATCCACTTTCCTTTAAAAAAGCTTCTGTAAAGTTAATTTTACCACCTAAACCTTCACCTGTGTCTTCAGGTATCAGGGATGTAGTCCGCCCGTACACCTGGGGGACAGGTAACCCTCCCACACCCCCCGCCCCACGCTTCCTGTCAACAGGATGTTATTTGACGTCACCTCACGACTCCTTTTTAAAGACAGCTTGTTCAAATCTTCAACCTTCTGGGACCACAACATGTTTTCTGGGCGTATCGCCTTCGCAGGTTGTGTAACAGCTGGCGAGTGAGTCCACCTTAAACAACACTTTCTTTGATAAAGTCAGACCTCGATAGATCACATCGCTGCAGTGGAACTGTGCAGACCTTTATACTATCACTTTAACATCGGTGTATTATCCCTACAGGTACATTCATCTCTTTTATTTCTGAAATGATTATTTTTATCATCAGTCTTGTATCGTATCACCAACCTCTGGGTCCAGATTTGACCCATTTTGACATTTGAAGGCATTAAAACAACGACGTTCTTTTAACCAAAGATCTGATGACTTTCCCTAAAATAACCCCAACAATGTCTTTTTCTACACAGGGACTAGTCCTCAAATTTGACATATGTGTCAAAATACTGTAAAACTTAATTTAAAGCAGGGTCCAAATTAATGTGCAGCAGTTAATAATCATTAATTAATGATTCCTAATTGATATATTATTGGATACAAGTAATATTCATACTGGTTTAAATAAACAACTTGATTTTTCCAAATAAAACCCCGGGTTATTGATTGAGGTTTTAGGGTATTCTCCATTTTATACAACTTTAAACTTCTGCTCCACTACATCTCAAAGGCAAATATTGGACTTTTTATTCACAATTATTTATTTAGTCAGTCAACTTAAGATGTCTCATTTTTGGTTTTTACCACAGTAAACAAACCAACAAGCCAACAGTTTGCATGCACAAAAGAAAAGCCCACAGTTCTGGTCGTAAGGAGAAACACACCAACCTTTAAACATAATGAAAGACTGATATCAACAGGTTTCAAGAAGGTGGTTGGAGGAATGAAAGAGGGAGGCTGTGTTCTGTGGAGTGGAGACATTTTGCCTCTTTGCATTAAAATAAGTTTGAAAAGGAGAGAAATTCCTCCACAGGACGTCACTAACAGGTTGATCAGAGGGAGCACAGCTGCATGTGAACTGGAATATTAGTGGAATATTCATTTTCATCAGACAGCTCAGTGGGAACGTTTGCTTTTTCAGAATAACTAAAATACACACACACACATATATATATATATATGTGTGTGTGTGTAAATGTACACTGTAAACTAAAACTAAATAAGTTCCTTTTTATCTCAAGAAATTGCTGAAACCGATTACATCTAATGCTCCTGTATTATTGATATAATAAATCAATAGCAGCGCTACAACTAACAATTGCTTAACTGATTAACTGATTAACTGATGAATTGTTTGTTTTATAAAATGTCAGAAAAGATTTGTTTAGTTGTTTTTTAGTTTTCGGAGACAGACGAGGAAAATGAGACAGTACTCACATGGGAGACGTTGGAGCTCTGATCACACGATCAATCCATTAACATTAACAGTCTTTGATTGATTTTCTTTGAGTTGAATGATCCGTTCAGCTCCGTATCACTTCACTATATCCCAATACTGCTGTGGGCGGGGCCGTAGGGATTCAATCAACGACACTGACATCTTATTTTAACAACCTGAAGGGAGTTGCTGCTACATAAAGACTTCAGTTTGAATAGTTTATTTATGTTTTACTTCGTCACATTTATTGAGTTAAAAAAGGCCGTCAGCAATAAAGTGTGTCTACTTTTTCAGTGAACACCTGAGTTACATACACATACTCACACTGTCGTATATTAGAGCTCCAATGATTGAAACTATTAATCAATAATTGAAAATAGTTGAAAGGTTTGCTGGTTGCAGCTTCCTCACTGTGAGGATGTTCTGCTTTTCTTTGTCATTTATGATGAACAGTCTCTGGCTTTTGGACAAAAGAAGCTCTTTGAAGTCACTTTGTAAAAAATGTTCATCGCATCATTGCCCAAATGAGATTTTACAGACTAAACGATTAATGGTGCACTGACAGATTACTGGGGTCAGAGAGGGCTGCGGGGGTCCGGCAGCAGGAGCAGGAAACAGACTATTGGAAATGTTATCACATTAAGTTGGTCGGCTGTAATTTATAGTGATCAAAGTTTGATCATTGATTGACTGTTAGGACTTTATTGTCTTCAGAACTGGATACTAAAAAATAATCAGATGCAGTTTTTTAATAAAGCTGAAATCTGAAAAGTTCTGGTCTACAAATCTTACATCACATAAAAACATGTTTGTTTGGTTCACACTCATCAAATCATTAAGAATTTAAAAGTGTGATCATTCCCACTCTTCATGAATCATGTTGCAACTCTAATATCTGTTATAATGATATCCGTATGAGTGTGTTTCCGTATCGTGCTGCTCTATTTTTAACTTTTATCAGATATTTTGGAAGTTGGAACAACAAGTGAAGAAATAAGGGCTGACTGTCATTTATAGTGATCAAACTTTGATTATTGATTGATTATGAAGACTTCATTTTTTAAACCTAAAAGAAAACACTCACAGAGGAGTACACACACACAAATACTGCACTTTCTTTTTTTTAACGTTGTTCTGTTGTTTAAATCTACATTTAAAAGCTCTGAACCCACGATGCATCTCTCCTCCCTATCAAACAGCGTTCACCTGCAGTGTTCCTGCTACATAAACTAACAAATAAATCAAATAATAAGATCAGATGTTTGTCTTTAAGTAGAGAAATATAACTTACAAACTGAATGAAACATATTAAACATCCAGACTCTATTTATTTCAGACCTCAGGGTTTGTGAAAGCCTGGTTCCGGCCCTGTTCACTGTCATTAATGAACAGGAGAACACAAATCTCACAAACCTCATTATAATATCCCGCAGGTTAATATTAATGCATTATTTCTATATTTCTGCATTATAGAAACCTTCATTCCTTCTGTCACTCTGTCCTTTGTCCACAGAGAATAAAGTGAGTGTGCTGCTGCGGCAGATTGTAAACATATGCAACTATAGGCAGCCAATAACATCATGGAAAACACATTTTTTTCTTTTTTCCAGCGGAGAGTTCACTCTCTCAGGTTAGAAGAGAAAAAGACAGAAACACTCTTTCTGTGTGTTTCCTCTCATTTTCCTCATTAATCAACTTCAACTCTCAAAAGCAACAAACTTTTCCCTGTTTGATTAAAATGAGCAGCAGGTCTGAAACTGAGGAAGAGGAGCTGCTGAGGCTGAACTTAGAGTCCAGATGAGGGTTTGGATGAAGTCATTCGAGGGTTAAATGTGTGAAAACGGAGCTTTGGATCAACTCTGGAACTCAACGTGAAGATGTTTCAGCACGTTTAAGGAACATGACAAAGAAATAAAAGTTCAAACACTAAACATTTATATCTCAATGTTGCTTTTGGACTCTTAAAATCAAGTTTGAGGAAGAATAAAAGGCAGGAAACCTGCGGCTGGACGCCCAGAACGCACAAAAGCTTCTACATGAAATCTTCCATCAGCAGCATCAAACAGCGACTTCTGAATATCTGAGCACTCACATGTTTTCACTGGAGCGGCAGCTGGTCCCCCTGCAGGCTCATTCTCCCTCTCCACAAACTCTCAGGGAACTTCTTCTTTTAGTTTCAAGATTCTGCTGCGCGCAAACTTTTCTCACTCCAAATCGGCAAAATCCAAAATGCGCCGCGCTGACGCGCAAAAGTCTCCAGAGTTTGGAGAGAGATGGAGACTGAGAGGGGAAGACACAGAGAGAGAGAGAGAGAGAGAGAGAGAGGGGCTCTCCTGTTCGGGTGGGTTCGCTTTACTGATCCGGACTCCCCGGCGGCGGTGTGAAGATGCTTCCACTGAGCACAGAGAACAGTTACTGTTCAGTCTGCGGGTTGGAGGCGAAGCGGAGTCAAGCTGCAAATGAATTAAACGATGTACTTCCGGTTAGGTTGTCAAAATAAATCCAGCTCGACAGATATAAGACCAAAATTTCAAAATAAAATAAGTCAGACAAACAGATTCTTACCCCCCAACTTTACACACACACTTACACACTTACACACACACACACACACGCACACACGCACACGCACAAACTCTCAGTACAACAAACTAAATAGAAAGAATGAGTATAAGAGTTGAGGGTTGTATTAGTGTGAGACTGCAGTGTGTGTTTATAGCAGTTATAATTAATAAAATAGTACAAAATAAAATATACATTTTAACATGTTCTATTGGTTTTTACCTTTCAGCTTCTGTTATTGAGGTCAAATTGCAGGTATTATTCTGTTTGGTTCCATTTGTTCTCCGTATGGGGGGCGATTAATGCTACAGCAGAGCCTGAAACGGGTTAGGGTTCTGATTTTTGTCCTCAGTATTTATTGCAAGGGGTAGACAATAAAAGCTAACTTCTACCTGAAACCCTCCTAGCAAGTTCAGTTTTTGGTCCTCTGTATTTCTAAAAGCCTGCGTACAGCGATGCTGGTGAGGTTCTTCTTTTACGGTTTAGGGTACTGGCACCTTTACTTGGTTGGATTCTGGCTCTGTGCCACAGAGTGGATCAGTCCTCTTTGACCTACAGCTGCTGAAGTAATGGACCACTGGAGGAGAGCATGTTAAAGAGGAAGACTGAACCTGCTGTCAGGAAGTACACAGGATCCGTTTATCACATCATTACTGTGTGAGTGTTCACATCTTTTACCTCCCCTGCATTCAAAACCTCGAGTAAAAGTATAAAAGTATGACGAGAGAAATGTGCTGAGTGTATGAAAAGCAAACACACTGTTCTCAGTCAGTGTGTTATTATTATATGGGATGTTTTTGTATTAATATTCCTGCTGTATGAATGTGTATGTTACTGCTGCACATGTTTAAGGTTAAACTCATTTAACTTTACACTGTAAAACCAGAGAAGTTAATTTAGCTCAAAAGTGATGTAATCAGTGTCAACAATTTAAATGTAGTTAGTGAAACTAACTTATTATTATTATTAAAGGACGGATGGGTTTAAAGTCGTCAATGAAGAGAAGAGTTATTGATGATTTATAGAAAATATATAAGCACGTTGAGGATATTCTGTCATAAAACGTATTAATGGATCAAATCAGTGCCAGTGTTTGTGAAGATCAGGAAACAGCAGCGATATTAAACTCTGGGAGTCTCATTCGATGGATGATGAACACACTGTGATAAAGCTGGAGGACAATGGAGACAGTGAAGGCAGCAGGAACCGAGAGCTGCGTCTCATTTGCCTCTGACGTTTCTATCAGGCAGGAAATCAGCCGAGCGAGCGGAGGCAGGAGGCTGCAGAGATTTGCATCGCCACGAGTCCCGGCGAGGACACTCTCCATCACCCCCCCCACAAAAAGCAAAAGAGTCAGACATTAAAAATGGATCCAGTGACGAGTTTCTGATGAGCTGCGATCAGTTTGTGTTTCACTCTTTAACTCTACAGGTGTTTATTTCCAGCAAACAGATTCAAGCTGAAGCTTCGTCCTCTTCACCACCAACACACACACTGTAGTTCAGTTACACGCCGTCCTGCTGCCACAGACACTCACTGCAGCACCAAATGTGGATTCATCCGCCGCTGGAAATAGTCCCCAACAAATGCACTTTTATTTCCTCCTGTTTGTTTGAGCAGCTGATTCAGGAAGTGATTCAACCTTTCTTAAACGAAACCTTTTCTAAACTATATATCTGTGAGCAGCTTTTAAAGGTTCACATCTTCAGTGGGAGCCAGCGGGCTTGGAGCCACAGACAGGAAGTCAAAAACCTGTCCTCCCGCTGCATGTCAAAGTGTCCTTGAGGAAGATGCTGAACCCTGAATGCTCACTGTATCAATGTGTATGAATGGGTGAATGTGGATAGAAGCGCTTTAAGGGCTCGGAATATAAGTACAGTCCATTTAACATCTTACGGGGTCGGCCTTAAACAAAAAGAGTAAAAGTATAAATTATATCGGTTTCCTCAAACAATTTAAGCATGAAAGATTTAACAACTGATTAGAAGTAACTCAAGTATTTATTTTTAAGGTAACTTCAATTAACTTAATTTAAAACCTATTTAAAATGTGTTCACAGAATTGATCTCAATAAAGTAACTTAAATGCATCTTCTTTATACAAATGTTACCACATTTATAATGAATTAATTATCAAAAGGTCCAATTAATGATCCCCCAAAGTGTAAGGACTCGATGTTTGTCACATAAAGAAACACAGAAATTAAGAATTATTTGGATGTGTACTTGGGTTTATGTGGGTATGAAGAACATCTGGATGTTACGATCTCAGGACGTAACCGTACCGTGATGATGATGAACACGCTCTCGTGTCGTCCTGTGACAGAACGAACATGTCTGTCTTTCTGAGGGACTGCATCATTTCCTGTTTCCTTCGGGCCCCTGCAGCTTTTATATGAGTGGAACAGAAGGTGTCAGTTTGTGCCCAGAGCTGAAGACCTGACCCCCCCAACCTCTCTAAAAACACAACATCATGAGAGAGAACATACTCGGTATAAAGAACAGAGGGTTGTGTAATGTCCCTGGCAGACTCACACTCACAAAATAAAAGCAGTTTTACGACAGAGGACTGAACAGGAAGTACAGGAACTGGACTCGGAGCACAAAAGGTAGAAACTTGGCCGTTACGTTGACCTGATTTATTTGTTTCTCCTAAAAATAGAATCAAACGGGGACAAAATTGACACAAAATACACCCAGTGAGACAGAAAAAGACTTTAATTTCAGAAGCAGATGATGGAAAAGAGAGAGAGACACACACGAGAGGTTTAGATGAATTTTGAGCAAACATTAATGAATATAATATCAAATATCCATCAAATAAGTCACTTATTCAGTTTACTCCACTGGTTGCCAACCTTTTCTGACTCATTACTGTCTGTATTTCCTGCCAGTTATTTTGACCTATAACGTATTTGACCTTTGAATGATGAAGTTGATTTCAGACGGTGTTATCATTCCTCCTCCAAACCGCAGAAACTATCACAGATGAGGGAACCAATTGAAGTTTTATTTACATTTAGTCGCATTCGCCAGCTTCCTGCCTCACTGTGACGTGTCCGACGGATCCGTTACCTGAATGAAATGACACATTATCCCAAATGTCTCCAACGAAGTACTACGACTCAACTCCATACAGAAACCAGCTCCAGAGTTTATTTATATTTTAATACAGAAACGTTACATCGTACAGCTTTAAAGATAAAGTCGACTTCAGAATATCTTTTTTACAGTGCACTGACAGATTGTTTAAGGAGGTCGTGTTGAGACACTTTGAACTTCAGGTTTGTAAATTCCCCCC